AAGAAAGACGCTGTAGGAGATAGGTTTGACCGGATGAAATGGCCAAGGTAGTTGCTATAGTAGATAGTTTTACTGAATGAAATAGCTACAGTAGATGCTATAGTAGATAGGTTTTACTTGATGAATTTGTCAAGGTAGATGCTGTCACAGATTGATTTTACTGAATGAAAGGGCCAAGATAGTTGCTATTGTAGATAGGTTTTACTGAATGGAATGGTCCTATATAGTTTCTGCTGGATGCAAGGTGTTTGCTTCTTTTAATGCCTGCACAATTATTATGAATAATAGTAGTAATTATGATGATTATGATTTAATTGATGCTATATTCTTTGTGGAAGTTAATGTTAACTGAGATATCAGTTTTGCAAGTTCATGTTATGTAAGATTGACAAATGTTGATAGATTTTGTCGTTTGATATCCATTTATTTGTTTGGTTAATCTGTGCAGGTCGTAAAAAAATATTTGCAGCTTTTAATCAGTATAAATAGAAATGTGATTGGAGTTGACTCTATTGATTTGAGCTTTATCTTAGAGATATAGTTTTTTTATACTGCTTAGCCAACAGAAGGTTAATAAGTTGATAAATTGTGTATGCTGTTTTATTGATACTTTTTCTTATATTGATGTAAATCCGCTAAAGAAATTGTTTTAATGACTAATCTGTTTTTAATGAGAAACAGAAAACCAAACCTGATTATACTTACGGTTCACAAAAGTAAGCCAGTCAAGTAATGATAAAATGAATATCTTGCGTACCACCAGATCTACACGAGGAGCGCGCAGTTCTACTTGGTCGTCTAGGTCAGCACCATCAGGCGTTGTCCATTTACACTCTCACACTCAAGGACACGCAGGCAGCCCTCGGATACTGCCAGAAACATTACACGTCTTCTGGGCCTGGAAATGAGGTTAGTGAAACTGTGAGAGATAATTAGTTCCTGGTTCTTGACGATAGTGAGAGAGTTATTAGAATTTTATGATGTGGATGATATGAAGTGATAAGGTAATGTGGGAAAGACGGGCATTTCTGGTAAGACTACCGACCTCTTTTCACATGGGCACTGTAATCATTGGGAAAACTTTCCATGAAAACACTGAAAGCAGAATGTTGGGTATTTGATCAATGTCATTCTTGTATTGAGATCTTCACATTTATTTTCTGCAAACCCTTTGAATCTCTTTCTCTTCGAAATTTCTTAAAGAAACTGTTTAAATATTTTTGAAACACTGATAACATATCGTAAACCTTTCTTTTAACCATTAAAAGTCTATTTTTTTTTTTTTTATATAATCTATACTTTTATTTTAAATGTATTTGGAGAATGTTTTACTGTATAAACTTTCCAGTGAGACAGTGACTAGGATTTTTGTAAATGTTTTTTCTTTTTTTCTTTCTTTTCTTTTGAAGGTGTATCTGCTACTTCTAAAGCTGTTAGTCAGTCAGTCAGACTCCAGAAGCCCAGGAAGCTCTCCCTTCAAAGTTCAGAAGTCACAACAGACTCAGGTCGAAGCCGTGCTAGAGCTTCTTCAGAATTACCTTCACTGTATCGATTTAGGACAGGTGAGATACCAGTCGTATGATGTTCTCTCTTCTTCTCCTGTGAATGTTTTTTCTTCTTTCTTTTCTTCTTTTTTCTTTCTTTCTTTTGTTCTTTCTTCTTCTTTTTTCTTTCTTTCTGTTTATCTTCTCTTCTGTCTTTCTCCATTGTTTTTTTTTTTCCTTTTTTTTTCTCCAAAAATTGGATAAGGAGACACTTGCCTGTAAAACTGATGTTTGGGTTATCATAATGTTGAAAAAAGAATTTCTATATAGATTAATAAATTTAGAGATAGGTATATAGATAAATAAACAATTTAGTTTTAGTCCTAACTAAATCTGTGTTGTTATTGCAGGCTTTAAAAGTACTCCCTGATGCAGTCACAATAAAGCTGTTAAAACCGTTCATCCATGCATCTTTAAGCCATGCCGGGACAATACGCAGACAAAAACAAATAGCGCGTGGACTGACTCAGTCACTGAAACTCCAGGTAAGTGAGGGAAGCTCTTGTTGCCATTAAACATATTGCTCTTCCATGAATCCTTAATGGTAAAGTTTCCTGTGTTCTCGTTATTATTATGATAGTTATTGTTATTGCTATGATGATTATAATTGTTTTAAATGGTAAATAAGTTATTGGTTGTGTGATGTATGCAACATTGCAGTTTACCAAGTAGGGTAGTATTCTTAATTCAGTTTTGTTCTGTTCATCTCTCGGATAGCAGATTCAGTAAAGATGATGGAGACATAAGCAGGAGTATGAAAAAGTCGGTTTATCTTCATATCCCAATTTTTAGATTTATGCTATGTGTGATTTTAAGATGATACTGACCAGGGATTGAAAAAAAGGAGAAAAAATATCTAATGGTGTGCTTTACTTGTTTCAGACAAGTGAAGAACTTGTATCTTGCCAGAGTTTGAAGATTCCCCTCTCAGAGTTTACCTACTGTGCTGTATGTAGAAAGAGGTTTACAAAACACAGGTGAGTTCATGTGCGGGTTTTGATTGATTTTAAAAGTGAAATGACGTTAAATGTGAATGCAGTTACTTGTGTAATATCATTTTATTTCCTTAAATGTTAGAGGTCTTTCTGTCTAACTTCTGACAAATGTAGAAAAATATGTGAAAGAAAATGAAAAATCATACAATTTATGTGTGATTAATGCTTTAATATTCTCTCATCAAAAATTACTACTGGATTGTGATTTGATTTTCTTCATATTTCTTAGTGTATCAGTTTTTTATGGCATTTAGTCAGTGTAGTCAGTGCTTGTCTATTACCTACTTAGCAAATTACTATTGCATTGTCTAATATTGTGTCTTTTCTTCTAATTTCAGTGCTTTTGCTTGGTACCCTAATGGAGACATTGTACATTTCTCGTGCCAAAATCAGCGGTAGCACACGACCCCAGAATGCTACCGTGGAGATTCCCAGTTCCGTGTATCAACATGAATAGAAATTATGTGGTAGTTGAGTTACATATATCATGCAGCATATCATTTACCTACATGCATATTAAGGATTATATGAATGTAGAATAATTTTGGCGAGAACATTACCATTATGCATTATGTTGCCGTTTTTAGAAGAAAGAAATTATGAATATATTTTTTATTTAGGTTAATTTAACCCAAGTAATCAAATTGGATAGAATTGGAATAAAAGTTTGCCATTTGTACAGGAGATTGGAAAAAAATATCATCCATGTTTTAGCTGCCCATTTTAAAAGCAAGATAACACAGCTCAAGTATGTATGGGTATATCCACATATAAGAAAAAAATATATGCCAAAATAAATCCCATCGTGATAAAAGTAAAAAGAGAAGAATTTAGTGTCTTGTTACCTGTTAAGAGCCAGTTGTCCTTAGTTACGTGGCTGTTAATGTTTTATTTGATCCCAGGTGATATATTGTAATTACAAGCAAACCAAGGGTAACTGTATATGTGCTCTGTCAGTGTTGTACTGTGATTGGAATAATAATTGAGATATTCATGTTATTATTTTTTTTTACACAAATCAAGACAGTGTTAAGCAGTTCTACAGAGTGATCTGAATATGTAATAGAGATAATGTTTAAATATTGTTGTAATAAAATGTATTAAAATAATAGATGTTTATGTGATTATACACTTTCATAAATGTCAGCCTGTAGCTGCTCTCTGTCGCTCTCTCTCTCTCTCTCTCTTTCTCTCTCTCTCTCTCTCTCTCTCTCTCTCTCTCTCTCTCTCTCTCTCTCTCTCTCTCTCTCTCTCTCTCTCTCTCTTCTCTCTCTCTCTCTCTTCTCTTCTCTCTCTCTCTCTCTCTCTCTCTTCTCTCTTCTCTTCTCTCTTTCTCTCTCTCTCTCTCTCTCTCTCTCTCTCTCTCTCTCTCTCTCTCTCTCTCTCTCTCTCTCTCTCTCTCTCTCTCTCTCTCTCTCTCTCTCTCTCTCTCTCTCTCAGATAGTTTTACTGATTCTTGCGTATTTAATGAAGGATGCCATTTTATCCATATGATTAAGAGAAAGAGAAGAGATAAATGGAAAAAAGGATCGTAATGCTATTTATATCTCTCATTTTATTGTACAAAGATTGACAAAAGTATGAATCCAACAGATGTTCGGATCAAAAGTGTGAGAACATTTTCGTTATGATTAATTATATATTTTTTTTACTTTCAAATAAGCTATAAAAGACAGTCATAAATGTATAATCAACGCAGACAAAATCAAAAACCTGCGTGTGTGATTGAAATAAATTAATAGTTTGGTTTTGGAGATACGATATTGTAATTACGATAATTACAAAGTCTACAAAACCCACAAACACACTAGTACTCCGTTCTTTGTAAATTTGTCTTTCTTATTATTTTCTGCATAACACCGTAGCTGCATTCAGTGTTATAATACTGTACATTCAGACAGTATTATAATGCTGTACATTTCTCTCAACAAAAGTAAATTTCTGATAGAGAACATACATAAAGGTAACTTGTTTCCTACTTGATATAAAATAAATAAATAAAAAGTTGTCTCGTGACCTACTTTTGTACAGATTGATTGTCCATCTATAACCTATAGATATATAAACACTAAATCAATGCAAGGCAATTTTTATCCAAAAAATGAGAATCGTCTTATATACAGTGTGAGTCAGTAACTAATATAACGCTATATTAGAATTCCATGCTGTAAAATCAAGTAGACAGTACAGTATGCCAGTTATTATGTCGTTATATCAGAATTCTTTACTGTAAATGCTTAAATACAATATACAGTGTGTTAATATTATGTTAGAAATTTCCTGCTTAAATAGAATATACAGAGTGTGTGAGCATTATAATTTATAGTTAGAATTTCCTGTTGTAAAATCCTTAAATACAACATACAATTTGGGTAAAAAATCATAACGTTATGTCAGAACTTCCTGCTGCAAAATTCTTAAGTACATTATACAGTGTGTCTGTCAGTATTTTAACAGGATA